AATAATAACAGTATCGGGAAAAAGAACCAGAAAGAAAAAACCAAATTCCAAAAAAAAAAAAATACAATAAATACAATAAATACAATATTTAAACAATACCTTTCAATATCAGTATCAATAACAATATCAAGTGACAAACAGTAATAACTATATTTTTCAATAACTCGTGACTCTCTCTTAGTGAAGCTTCATGCTGGGTATTTATTCACAGAGTACAACTTCATGCGATCATAAATTTACATACTCTTCTGCTACATTAATTGTATTTGTACGTACCACTAGGGAAGCTGGTGTGAGTTTTATCATACACGCACATATATTTACTCAAAATACAAATGATTATGTAGAAGGTGAGTTAGCATTTTAATGCAACTAAAAATTCATAGATAAACTAAACAATAGAAGGAAATAATAAATGACCATAAACACAACCATAATCATAAAAAAGTAAATAAATTTGCTATCTCACACACATTGACTAATCCAAGCAAGTTTTCTCAAGATGTGGGTTTACTCTGATCTGTGCTTCAAGAAGACTGAAGGTGATTACAAAACTGTTGTAGAACATGCAAGTGAGATTTCACATGCTTTCTTGACGTTGAATTGGTAAAAATGAGTCACTGCAAATGATTGATGATTGTTAATTGTGTCATTCTCCACTTTTAGTAAGTTAATAGATGACTTTTCATGGTTATATAGGAATAATGGAGATGAAACATTTAGTGAGATGAGTCCTTATTTCATGGTTATATAGGAATAATGGAGACGATACATTTAGTGAGATGAGTCCTTATCCTATTAAGTAAAATATATTGCAACCTGAAATAAAAAATGTTAGTGACTTTACATTTTTAATGTTCAAGGAATTTACAAGTGATCTGTATGTTAGTCTTGTAAACGATCAAAAATGTGAAGTGGATGTGTCATTATATCATTAGCAAATATATATATATATTAGAAACTGTACGTTATCCCAACATAAGGCATTTACAGTTGATTGTTTGTGAATGTGTATGAGTATTTGATACATCCAAGCAAAAACATGTTGCTATCCTGTTAATGCAAAATAAATTTGAGACTGTACATGATCCATGTTTAGGAGGTTTATGTATGATCTTTGAGTATGTACGCAGGAAATAATCAGACTGAAACATTTACCAGATTATTCATCTTTCTACTGAAACAAAAATGTGTATGTCCTTACATATGTTTGCAGAAGTTTATGGAATTTAAAAATCGGCATGTAGCTGAAATTTAGAAGATGCGTCTATGTTAATGAGTTTGAAACAAGATATTTTTCTGTAATATTGTCTGAAACAGAACTATTGTTTATACAACAGGTGTTTCTGTTTTCAGGAAGCACTAAGTGCTAATAAATTAAAGTCAAGAGAACAGGTAAGGCTGATGAACACTATTGGACAAGTGCTTTCCATGATGCCCATCAACTTCATCCTGTCGTACTTGGACCCAGTTTTAACTCCCATGTTACAGCAGCTAGAACATGCTCTAACTCAGCAGGTGAGTTTGTCTGTTCAACAGAGATTTACAGAGCCACAACTAGATGTAAAACTTGGATCTCTTTACTTTATATTCTACAATTATTTCTAAAGTTAAAAAATATAAAGAAAACATTCATTTAATGGAAAAACAACAACAACTAATATGTGCTAAAAACAGATTTTACTAGTTTACCTATTTCCTTGTAGTACAAAAAATTATAAACTTCAAACAGATCTTATTAGCATAGCTGTTGCTTAATTTTGAGAAATAAATATTGATATTCAGTGAAAGGGACAGCCTACTTTCATAAAATTGTGTGTTCAGGGGCAATAAATTTATTTTTTCAAAGTAAATCTTGACCTGTGCTATTTCTTTACAGCAGGAATAGTTTTATAAATCTTCATATTTTTATTGTTTCTAGTTATTTTCATTTAATTTTAATCTTCACAACTTGTTTGTTTTCAATTTAACTAAAGAGCTCAGAAAACCTTACCTAGATGTTTACCTTTAGAATTACAGTTTTATGTTTAAAAAAATATGGTTAATTTGTTTGGTTTCAACTTAACTAAAGAATCTGAAAAAACCTCACCTAGATATTTATATTTAGAAATGAACTTTCCAATTCAAAGTATTATTTTATATTCCCAGAAAATTAATTTTTGTAATCATGAGAAATAATTCTGAAATATTTTTTAATAGCCAACAGCAGTAACAAAATTCATTATCATTCACAACTTAAACATGCTATCCATGTTATTTGCTTCCCTGGATACTCGGCTACGAGGATTGGAAGGGGAAAATTCAGCTGAGAAACAAAAACAGGTCTCTTCTACATTAGGTGAAACCCATCCAGTTCTTCTTGTGACCCAGAAGATAATGCCTGTTTTTAACACAGTAGCAACAGTTGTAGCTCAAGATGAGCAAGTTGCTGAGGTATTGTATTAAGACAATTTTGCTAGAAGTTTTAAGTAAGAAATTTGGGCCTTTTTTATGTCAGTTACAAAGGGGCTGGACATAGAGAGTGAGTATTTGTTTTAGGATGTATTTATTGAATTCCATTTTGAGAGTTCTTCTGGAAATAGATGTATTTATTTTGAAGTTTACTTTTCAGGATCTTTGGAAAATTTTGTTGACAGTGAGAATGTGAATAAATTTAAAACAGTTAAACTGAAGTGCTTACATAATGGGATGTTTCAAAGAAAGAAAAAAAAGATTTTATTTTCTCTGTGAAATAGCATTCCAGTTATTTCTTCAAAATAATTTTTTAAACTTCACAGTGGTTTCTTTGTTTAGTCAGTGTGTGTGTGTGTGTGGTGTTTGAGGATGTCTCTTCTAAACTAATTTATAAGTAAAGTTCTGAGATAAGTTTTTAATTCTCTATACTTATTGCAAGGTTGATTTTTAGTTTTGTTCTAAGTACATAGTTTCTTCTGATCAGAAGTTAATATTAATTAATCATCACTTCGAGCATTTTCAATAGCTGAAAAGAATAAACAAGATCTGTTCACTGGTATCCTAATAATATTATTAAAAGGTTTATTGAAGAAACTGAAACTATTTCAAATATTGCATATTCCATGGTACAGCAATGTATTATACCACACTTCCTTCCTGGCATCAGAAAACAAATTACTTTTGCAATACAAATAAAACTCTAAACTAGGCCTAATCGAGTTAAGAATATAGAGATGCAAAGATGTAAAACCTGTCTCATGTAGCTCACTCACAAAATGAAACACTGAATAAGTTTTTAAGGACTGAAAACAAATCTGATGTCTGATCTCTCTATTACATTGACCCTAGTATTTGTTCATGCAGCCTAACATTTACTGTCTCATGCAGAAATTACAGCATTTCATATTGGGCTTAAAAAATTGGATAAATAAGAAAAATGCATCGAATCTATGATATTTCTCTGGCCAAACATGTAACAGGTAATGATGAAAAAAATATTTAAAATACCAAGTAACATGGGATATTTGAAAATAGTTTCAGAGGGGAATTTTACCATAATTTAATAGGGTTTTGCAAAACAGTAAACACTTAGTTTTGCTACTAAATATGGTATTTTACTCCAACCCTAGGCTCTCTGTGATGCTCTGAAAAGGGCAGTTTTAACTCTTCTAGAAGAAAGTAGTCCTATTGTGGAAGACATCCTTCAATTAATTCTACGACTTTACCAAACTCATCCTTATACAGCAGCTCTAGATGTGACAAAACAGGCAAGTAAGACATCCAGAGACCATCTTTACTAACATATTTGTACAATAGGAAAACTTGCTAGATTCCACACCTTTGTCACAACTAAGTTACGAGAGGATAGACCATTATTTAAGTGCAGAATGTTATAGTAAGAGTACTTGGATGATTCTTCATCATGTTTTTACAGCTTTGAAAAAGTAAAGATTTTAATAACAGCACATAGTAACATGTAGAATAAAAGGTAATTTCTAAGAAAGTGAATTATTTTATGATCAACTAAAAATATATAATTAAATTGATTGGTTATTAGGAACTTTTATTGTCTAAAAAGCTGTTTTAGACATATACTTTTCTCTTTACAGATTCTTTTGCTATTTAGTCAAGATCAAAATTTGAAACAGCCGCTGTCATTATTCCTAGTACAGATATGTAATCATACTTTAGCTTTGTGTCAGGCAGGTAAGTCATATTCACTGGACTTAAAATACATTTTTTTAACTTATCATAATAAAAAGTCTTACAAAAACTAACTCTAAATAACTTTTAGTATGCCATCACTGTCTAAATGGTGTTGCTTTCAGATACTTCTGTAAGATGATAAAGTCCTGTTTCATGTAATTGACATTTTAAAAGCTGTAGTATAATTTCTTTGAGTAAATTTTCTCAATATTATATTGAAATTAAAATTTTTTTCTGTGTTATAGATTTGCGAGAACATACAAGTTTGTTGGAAATATTTTATCAGACTCTAAGTCAGGTGGGTATAGAATTTGTTCAGACTTTTATCATACTGGGCTAGCTGATGAGTATGAATTCAAGTACATATTTAAAATATAACAGATGTATTTGAAATATTTTATCAGATTAGATAAACAAGAAATTCCAAGATATAATGCATCAGACTCTAGCTTAAGTACAGAAATGTTTATACAGAGAGTTAAATATTTAGCAAATCTACTAGAATAGCACCATCCACTACTCCATTCTTTTGAAACCTACTCACACCTACTTCTCTTAAGTACATGTTTATAGACAACAGTAAGAGCACATTTCAAACTACAAAAGTCTGATAGTCATTTGTAATTGGCTTGAAGGGGAAACTCATAATATTACTTGAATGCGAAGTCTGTTGACTAAGTCATTGCTTTGAAAAGAAATTAAATTTATGGCTTAGTTAGAAAGTTGGGTAAATTACAGTGATTGTATGTGTACCAAATACCTACCACATTTATCAGGGACTTTGTACCGAGCCACATCATAAACATTTTCTCATTTTTATTACTTTAGATAATACTCTTCACAACTACTGGATTATAAACAATCAGCTAAATCCTCTCCTACTGTGTTCTCAAAGCCAGGATTATAATAAACTCTTTGAAAATCATCAGCTTATTGTGCGCACATGCTTGTTTGCTATCGACATTGTTGTATTATAGTGTAACATGAACAGTCTACTGGCAGGAGCAGTGATTCATTGCTTTATGTTTGGCAGGTTTCTACTTCAGCTGCTAACAGTAAAATAAATATAGGACATAGATGTGAAAAAGTTAGAAGTAGAAACTATCAAGAGAAGTACTTTGGAAATTTGGGGTCAATACTAAAAAAGATAGAACAATACTACTAATTTTATTTCACTTTTTTTTTTTAATTGTAGTTATGGGTTTGGTCAAATTGACCAAATATGTATAGAGTTAGGATAGAGAAAATAACAGATAAAATATGAAGTTTTTGTGAATGAGCATATGATACTTATTTATGAGGTTGTACAGATTAAACAAATAAAATTTGGTAATTATTCAGATGAAGAAAAGTATTTTTAATCTTAAATTGAAAATCACTTTGTACTTGTAGCAGTCAACACTCTAACTTCATATATTCACATAGATTTTTTATTAAAAAATTGTTGTTTTTTTGTCTACAAGAAGACGTTTAATGTTTACTAAAAGCTTGAAAAATTTCATGAAGATACACAAAACATTTTAAAAGTTATAGTATGGAAATTCTGATGGTCGCTTTGGGGTCATGTGGTCAGCATAATCCATCAAGTCGGTAGTGAAAGGGTTAAAACAATTTGGAGCCTTACCTTGTCATTATAGTCCATGTTGTCACTTCCTTTCATGTCATGATCCATATGATGACTGTGCACCTTACCAATAACTCTGCAGCATAGTTTCCATTGCAAAGTACACCACTCCTCTCTGCAAGCTTTCCGTAATCTATCTAGTGTACAAGGATTATGGTTCCCCAACATTGTTTGATAAACTGGATATCTTATTCAACCAAAACTAACTCTTGTTTGGCACTTATCTCATAAAACACTGAAAACATATAATTTTTATCCTTGATTTCTTAGAATTCTCAGACAACATATCTCATTTTCGAAATGTGTATAACATTTTAATCAACTTTTCTTAATAAGTATTCATTTTTGCATTACCCTGTAGCTGACACAAACTGTTTATAGTTCATGTTTTTTATTAAATGTTTTCTTGTTTCAGTTACGTATTTTATACCCTTGTTCATTTTGATCTAATAAATTTGGTGCAACTATAGCGTGCGTTCTATACAGATACTATCATCATCATCACCATTTTAATGATTCACTCAAACATAATTTCTTGCTAAATGATTTATATCTATCCACGTTTTTGTTCAGCAAATAATAATAATTTAATAAGTTGTGTGTTCCAAAAGCGTACCTTAAATTTAGGTTATAATTGTGCTAGTTTTGATTGTTGGAATTTATTTCAACCCTATTATATTTGCCTCCAAAACGTTACATAATGGTATATTTTGTACTTTATTAGTTTAAAAGCATTATTTATAATAACTGGCACCAATTGCAAAAAAAAAAAACGAAAGTTAAAACGGTGATGATGATGATAGTATCTGTGTAGACCACGTGCCATAGTAGCACCATAAATTGTATATTTGTTAATAGAGTAAAACGGTATTCTTAACAGCTCATCAAGAAGGCCCTGTCTTTCTTTGAAGTGGAAGGGCTTGATCTCTCCGCACTCTTCCAATGTAGTAAGGATAAAAGATGTTTTTATATTAGTGATTTACCATTTTGTTGAATATTGGAAATGACAATCTTAAAAGAGAAAAATCAACTAATATTAAAGCATTGTCACTAGACATTTTGTAAAGTTTTATTTTTTGCATATAAGTCTCGGTGTAATTTTGAATATTTTCAGAAACTAATTTGTATAATTATTTCTACATTATTCTGTTATAAGATGCAACAGTTGTTTTTTATTCAAATGTAATCATGTTTTAAAATGTCAAACTGGTTGTTATACTGTCACACATTAAGCATGTAAAGCTTGCATAGTAGAGCAAATCAAGTTTTGATTAAACAATTACACAGGCCTGCGATGGTTTTATTGTCCTGAAATTTTTACATGTTCTACAGTAATTACTGTGCTCTGAATTCGAAAATGATATCCATTTTTCTCCATCACTTACAGATTTTTCACAAAACATCATAATGCAATACATAAAAGAAAGTCCACAACACGTAGTTTTGAGACTAAAAGATGTCGATTTCACAAAAAAATCAGGATGAATGGGGCTACATATTCATTTACATCAGTTTGTTTGTATTTTTGTTAACAAACATAATAAAAAGAAAAAAATTTCATTTTGGTAAACAAAATAATAATTTGATCTGAGTAAAAGTTTTTTCTTCCCAATTTGTAAAAAATATCCTTGCATGATAGAAAAAACATTAATATTATTTTCTAAATCTGAATTATGGAAAATCCATTATTAAAACCAAAACAACTTTTATGAAGTTTAAGCTCGCAGGCCTATGTCATTTATTTTTTGTAAATACTTGGTTATATTACATTATTGTTTAATTTTTTTAATCATGGCCTTTTTCTTCTTTCGTAAATCAGAAAAAAACATAATGATTAATTATGAATGCGTAAGATAGTTGATAAAAAAAAATAGGGTCAGATTTAAAGTGACCTATAAAATATCTTTAGAAAACTATAAATAGGAATGTTGCATTTTAACATGACCTTGTTTCATAAAATGTGTATTATGTATACTAATTCAAGATCTGAATGTTGTAGTTTTGTTTTATATGAAGTTCAGTTGAACATGAAACAAAGTAACATATTGCAGCATTGAGGTTTGAACTTTGTTCCATGGTTTTGTAAACAGGTGTAGCAGCTATAGGCTTACCAGAGAAGCCAACTGTAAAGTCATCATCCTCTTTCTTAGTAAGTGATGTTTATTATTACAAGCTGTAATTTGCACTGGCATCATATTTTGAATGTTAGCTACAGACAAACAACTTCAACTTTTGAAACTTCTTCAAATGTCATTTTCCAGTGATACATCTGTGATTATTGATAAGTACAGCTTATTAAAAAAAAAAACTAGCAATTGCGTTACATAGTTGATATCTAATGACCTTAACTTAGACCATATAACACAAATATCAGCTGCCTGATAACAAGTCAGCAATCTTCTCATTATAAACCTGCATACACTAAAATAAGCTCATTCTGTAATTGGCTGGTTCCTAACAACTGATATAGTTGTGAGAATCTGTATTTTAATTAAAATTCTCCACCTATCTCTGTGGGTAACACTGTCCCACAACAATATGGAAAACAGTAACCAAAACTGAAGCAACATTAAAACAGCAAATGACCAAACCTGAATGCTTTCTAGTTTGATCAAGGTGTCCAGGAAGCTCCTCCAAACTCAAAAGCTGTTTTCAGTAGAAGTCTAGATTGATCGTTTGGCTTAATAACAGTTATTTGCAAAATGTGGTTGTTGAGAATGCCAGTTCTCTACCTTGAACCCATCACAAACTTCACTATAGTAACTGGAATGATTATCAGGACTGCAGGAATCAGTTTCATAACTCTAAGTTAAATATGGGCACTTGGACTCCTTATGAACTTAGGATAACAGATGGGAGTGATTATCAGAATAGTAGGAACCAATTTCTTAAGTCTTAATTAAGGTCTAGGAGACCAAACAGTTGACCATACAAGATCACCAGAATTGGTACCAATATCATTGGGTTCATATATTTTTCTAATGAATGAGTACGTTTCACTCCCTCCCGGTAGGTGATACTTTTTATTTGGAGAGCCAGTGGTGAACAATATGCTCAAACATTATTTTGATATACAGAGAGATAGAGATGAAAGTATGCTCAGTCAAATGTTATTGAATTTAGTTAAGCTATAATGTTTGAAGATACAAGAACTTGTGCTTTTTATATCCAGTTGTACAACCTTTAATGGGTAATGCTAAGTATCATACTATCAAGACTGTAAAGGACTACTTTGAAGAAGAAAACTGTTAAGATCATAGCTTGGTGAACAAGAATTCTTAACTTAAATTTTATTTGCCAGAAACTACCCTGGACATTGTGTACATGAAAACTTTAATCTACCTTGCAACACCAGAAAGTTTGGATTGCTGTGATGGGGTGGGATCCTTGTTATCTGCTGATTGATCAGAATGATGCCTTACATCTGCATAGATTGCATCAATGTCATGATATCTTGTATGCGTTTGTTTGTTTTTCCAGACAAAAGATAGATCTGAAATACTGTTTTTGAGCTGTAATGGACAAATTAGGAGGAATGTAGAAAAAATTAGTGTGAACTAGCATGGTTTATTAGATTATTTTTTGCTATTTCAGTTAGTTTCTTTTTACAGTTAAACTGAGCTGTAAGCTTCAAATGCATTTAATGTTTTACTTTATTTTTAAAATCAAATCTCTATTAAGAACTGTGCTATAAGCAATTTCAATGAATACTATTATGTCAGGTTATTAAAAAAAAACTATTTCCTTGGATATATTACTAACTCAAGTGTAAAGAAGAATTATATAGTGATGCTATTCTGAAAAAACACATAGACTTTAAAATTGCTCTGTTAACTTTACAGGCAGAATTCATTAACTGCAGCCGAGAAGTACCAGCTTTATTGAATGTTGTCAACAATAATGGAGAATCTCTTGTAGTGCAAGTATTACGTGTAAGTGTTTTACATAAACTGTTTAGAATAATAAATGTTAACAGTGAAACAATTCATTCTAATCTTTATAAGTAAGTACAGTTTAATTAATCAGCTATGCTCATTACCAGGTTAGTGTTTATTAAGTAGTAGCTTGCTGTGATTGGAATTTAATATTTCATAGTACAGGCATTGTGATGTGTAAGTTTGTTATAGACTGTTATTCCTAGTGGTACAGGTATTATATTGCAGAATGTTATCCCTGATGTTATGTGTAAGTACATCATGAATTGTAGTCTGTAGCAGTATGGGTGTTACTTTTAAAATAGTAGCTTATTAAACTAGTAAGATAAAAGTTAGGTTACTGTTGTACCAGTATTTGGGCCAGGTGTTCCCAGTTTCGAAATAATGGATCATGTGGAGATTTAAAACTATCAATATGGACTTCTGAAATTGTATTAAGTTTGTATGCTTTTTAATTTTTATTTTACACTGTCATATTGCAAATTTATAACAGTAATGCACTGTATAAAAAATTTTCTTAGAAGTTGTACATTTTCTTAACAAAGCATATGCGTAGCCATGTTAAATGAATATGTTCTGATTTCATTTCTCTCAATTTGACATTGTCAAGGGTTTTATATACTGAATATAAGTTTATTTGTATTCTTAAGATTATACCTAGCTAACTTGGAAGAACCAAAATGGAAAAAATTTCCGAAACATTTTGCATGACTTGTTTTTGAAGTTTATAATTTACAATGAAAGGTTCATTATATAATTTGTATCAAATCATTTTGTTTAATTAATATTGACCTGCATTCTGGTGGCAGATAATAGGAGGCGAGTCACCCAGACACGTGGTGGAATATATGAGTGATATCCTTATGGCACTAAACAAGAAATATTTTGATAATCTTTGTCGTTGGATGTCCACCTACCTTCATCAGCAGGGTTTTCCATCTCATCGAGTCAGTACAGAGCAGAAAGAGAATTTTGTACGACTCATTCTAAAGTTAGTTTGTTTGTTTTTTAAACATTTACGTAGTTGATAACCAAAACCCATCCAAACTTAAGTCTACAAGTTCATCGAAGAGCTTATAAGTAACACCTTAACAACTTTTTTTACATTGGAAGTATATTGTTTGACTTACAAGTTAATGAAATCTTCAAGTGATTTAAGAGAATTAATGTATAAGGTACTGTAAGAGTTAAGGCTACTGATTGTTAATGTCAATTTTTGGATTGAGGTATGCAATATTTTTTATCGTAATACTTATTTGCAATATGTTTCATTGCTGGTGAGACCATTATTTTGAAACAATCAGTTTTAGAAAGGATAGCACTACTGCTAAATTTGTATTGAAAAATAATCCTATGTGCACAGTTTCATAAAATCTGCTGATGATCACATTTGAAAGATTAAAATAATTGTGTTTCAAGTCAGCAAGTTTTATAAACTACATGAATGTATATAAAACTATACTATTTTAATACTTGTTCAGCACTTGTGTAATATAAGCTCAGTTAAAAGATTTAAATTTTTACAGAGAAAGAAGCAACAAAAGGAAGCTCAAGGAAACAGTGAATGAGTTCACTTTACTCTGTAGAGGTTTGATTGGAACTGAATATGCTGCGCAAGTCCCTGTCTTTTCTTGATTTGACTAACACTTAGTTTGATATTGTTGCTTAAGCCTTTTAAGAAAATATTTAAATTGTTTTCATCAAAACAGGGATATGTAAATTTTTCTTTCTTTAAGTTTAATTTTTGTATAAAATAGTAGTACTTAGTGGTGTTTTCTCATACTTTTGAACAGGTTTAAAGTTGGTACTTTATCAGACTGTACTTTTTGTATATATGAATTTAAGTGGCTGAATAATGCACCCTAATTAAACAAGAAACGTACATTTCTTGAAGAAATCAAAGAATTTAGTCTGGATGGTATTAGTGAGCATTACTGTAATTTAAAGCTAAAAGAATACAATTTCAGGATAATGTGTTGTATATTCCTTTAGTGAGAAAAGCTAAAAAACGTTATCTCTGATAACTTTGAGAATTATTCTCAGGCTACAGTTTCATATCTTTATATAAATCATGTGCATATGTATAATGCCTTTTACTCCAAATGTTTATTTTCAACAAAAATGAAACTGTCATTAGTCAGTTTGTCTCGCCTTGCTCGCTAACTTGGATATTACCAAAAGATTATAAAACCAAGTTATGGTTTGAAAGCATCATTCTAATCTGTTGATATAAAATGTCTGTCCTAAGATTTCTTATAATGTGTATGCGTGTGAATATCTTCAATAAGATCTAACATAATATAGGAAGAAGTGTAGACATTCACCGAATTATAGTTTCAAGATGACAAATGGAAAATACTTAGAACGTATGACATATAGGTACATTAATTACCAAACTTTTTTTTTTCTTTTTTCTATGATTATGCAGTTTTAAGTTTTGGTTTGGAAAATATTTAAAAATGCATCTCAGAACAGGGCTGATGTTGAATTTTCTTAAGATTACTACAAGATATTAGGATAATAATAAAGTCACTGATGGCTGTATGTGATAATGTGTTTAAATGTACATAAACAATTGTCCTCATAACTATCTGGATGTAAGTAATTTGTTTTTACAATTTTATTGAACCCTAAGACAAATAATGCAGTTAGTAGAATAGCGTTGGAAAAGTTAATTATAAAGAAAACCTTATTGAAAATTATTGTTTCTTAGGGAACCAAAACTTCTCCCAGAGCTCATTGCAGAAAGCTTAGACATGGTACAGGGTGTTACATACTTATGTTTTTTTCTTATAAACTAGCAGTTTTTTATATCACAAATATGTGATTAATTATTGAAATAATGCATGACAGTGTTCAGTACCATGCAACGTTACTTAAATGTGGTATAAAAATTAATTGCTTAAAATAGATGCTCACATTCCTGGCCAGCAAGGTAGTGGTGATATTTGTTCAAAAGAAATATTAAAAATGACCACTAGAAAGGAGATTTCAAGGATCAATGAATACTTTTCAAAAAAGATAATGCTTTCAATAGACTTGATATGTTTATTTAAAGCGTACATTCAGTGAATGTCTTCTATGGCATTTTTCTAAACAGCATGTACCATGTCCAAACTGCCATAAATAAAAAGTATGATTCTTAATGTGCCTTTAGTGAAATTTAGTTCCCTCTAAGACAAGTAATCAATAATATATAAGCCTTTTTAGTATGCGGCTTTTTTTCTAATCATGGTGTTTGTATAAGGTAGAGAACCTTGTGGAAATCTTAGTATGTACATGTAGCACTTGAGGTTATTTGACAACTTCTATCAACCCTGTCACAATGTTTTTGGTACCTTGTGGAAATCTTAGCCAGGATATGTATCACTTCATTGACAACTTCTATCAAACCTTTAATGTTTTTTTTTTGGTACTTTGTGGAAATCTTAGCCATTGACAACTTCTATCAAACCTTTCACATTGTTTTGGTACCTTATGGAAATTTTAGCCAGTCAGTATATCACTTCCAATTCATCCATTTCATTGGCAATTTCTGTAAAACCTATCATATTGTTTTTTTAGTACCTTGTGGAAATCTTAGCCAGTATGTGTATCACTTCATATCAAATGTTCCACATATCTTTGTCTGTTTTGAGGTCAACGTATTAGAACATAAAAGATTTGAAATAAAACTTGTACAAATAAACACAATTTGGCACTTTTCTGCTGTTTTTTCATTGCACTTCCTAATGTGTCAAAAATTGTGATATTAAGCAAGATGCTTTTATAGATATGTGACAAAGTGATATCAGATTCTTATCGGGGAAAAAAATGTGTATATAACCAGCCATTATTTCAGGATTACAACCTCCACTTTCTTATTCCAAACTATTTCTGAAATTCAGTTCATGAAGAAAAACATAAATACTTCAAACCTGGGGGTTTTGAACTAATTGATTAATTTATAATTTTTCATTCTTGAAAATGTTTCATTGTGGTTATGTATCACGGAAGTTTAGGGTGATAGTTGACAAAACACCCAAGACTGTTTTCAACAGTAGTAGCAATCTAGTAGAAGTATTTAGAACCAAATAATTTCCAGTTAAAATATATACTTGAAATTGTTCTTACAGCTTCGGAAAAACTCAAAGCAAAACTGTGTATTTCAAAAATCAAGATATAATTTGTTCATAAAATGGAAAAAAAAAAACTGGCTCCATATGATTAGCATATAATTACAACTAAATAACTAGTTTTTATATAAATCTAAAACTAAGCTATACTGTGATCAGAAAAATATGAAGTTGTAAATTAAGATCAAGAGAAGCAGAAGACAAAACAATGCAAATACAATCCTACTCTAGTTTCTAGGTGTGAAGGATATAGATATAATTTTTTTTTTACAAATTAAGGGGAAAAAACAAGTCACTAAAAAGTGAGTATTTATAAAGGATTTTTTCTTGCTGCTCCTGTGAATTGCATTTAAATTAATTTACTAAAATGCTATCTGAAATTTATAAATACTACTATCGTTAAAATCTAATATAAATATCAAAAAATATTTAAGTTGTACAATTAAGATTGAGAGAAGCAGTAAGGAACAATAAAAATGCAAATACAATCCTACTCCAGTTTTTTTATGTGAAGAATATAAATATATAATTTTTTTAGAAGGGGGAAAAACAAGTGATTAAAAGTGTTTATTCTTACTGCTACTGGAAATTGCATTTAAATTAATTTGCTAGAATGTTATCTGAAATTCACAAATTCTACATAATGTCTTACTCTATCATTAATCTGAATTTAAATATAAAACTTTTATATTACATGATTATAATGATTTTCCCTCTAATCCATGTATGTTAAATCATGAGATACACGTGCAAAGTGTCATGGAAAGAAATGTTTTTCTGTTAGAATTCGATTTTTCTGGATAGAACCTTCTACCCACTCCTCTGTCACCAAATGAAACTTTCCACCTGATGTTCGTTCTCTGTTGACTTCCTTAAATCTTGCTACTCTTCCAGTGTCACTTAACAAGAAAAATATTTACATTAACCTTCAATTATAAAGTATTGTCATGTTTTTTTTATACCAAACACTATCTAGACAAAGATGCATTAGGTAAAATAATTCTTATCAAAATATGCTCACTCCAATAACATTCATAAAGTATAAATAATAATAAAAAGCGACTATATTAAAAGTTCATGGTAGTGAAGCAGATGTGATTTTACAGCTGTATTTTTTTTATTTACCACAATACAGAGTTCTAAATACCAGAATCACTGATCTTACCTATTGTGAACCACAACATGTGTCGTTTCTGAGTCAACAGAAGAACAAATAGTTCCGCCATGAAGACGGAGCTTAAGTGCCACAAGTTCTAGGGGATGATCTGGTATAACAGTACCCATTTCTCCAATCTCAGCTTTGTTATCAATGTAGATCCTGTAAAGTGACATCAATATTGTGGTTATGTAATGAATTGAAACTTCAAGTTGGGGTTATTGAATGTTCTTTAGTCAAACACTGGACATAGTTCTTCTCATGACTATATTTAATAATGATGTACAATGTAAATTTGAGCAATAGTGGTATTTATAAACAATTATTTAGTTATAAGAAAGCTTTAAACTGTATACATTTTAAGTAAAAATAGTGATAAAAAGGGCATTAATCACTGAAGATTGTCCTTGTTAAAGTTTGAGCTTTCTCTAAAATCCTTTAATATTAATTTTGTTTCACAAACACTTATCTTAAAGCATAATATGTCTAGCAAGATGCTCTCAATACTAACAAGTACTTTATATTGAGCCTCACCAAGTAGTTATTTATATATATATATATATATATATATATATATAATGACCCTGACTGAACATAGAACTTTATTGATCTTCTCCCAGCAATGATGACCTCTTTTCATTCACGATTTTCAGTTAATTTTGTAAAGCCATATTTATGAGAAATCATGCTGTTAAAACAAAAATATTGTTTAAGGAACTTTGTTTATAAAAAGTAGTTCTTAATTGGACCTAAAAAGTTAAGTACGTGATTCAGTAATGTTCGACAAACAGTCATTAAATTAGGTTAAACAACTTGTAGTTTTTTTTTTCATATTCCTCTTAATTTGTACATTTCAGATTTAAAATCAGAGGCATGTGGGAAACAAAAGATAAATCTAAAATGCTATTTTTCTTTTTACAAGCTTCTGGATTAAAAAAAACAAACATTGCAGTTTACATGATTGTTATCACACATTCTAAGCATACTAGTTTCTAACATTTTGTCAGCACATAATTTTTAACAGTAGATAACACTAAGTAAATCTGTCTAATATTTTTAATGACCATAATGCTGTAGCTGTGGTTCTAAACTGTACTTTCACACACTGTTATACTAAAAAAGCTTTTACCTAAAAGTTCGAAACAATCCATAAGAAGATACTGCAGGAAAGATGTCAAATTCCAAGTCAGCAATGCTCTTGGGGTCAGGAATATGACTTTTCCAAATCTGAACAAAAACAGAAGGCCCAAAAAATACTGTCTCAGTAAAACATCCTTCTAAATTAGCACATTAGAAAATCATATTAACAACTGTTTTGGATATCATTAAAATCCTGAAACAATATTCAGAAGGTATGTTTCTAACCTGCAAGCTAAATTATATACTACATTAATATATATAACAAATATAAAAAATTACAATATTGTGTTTTACATGAATTGAGGGTCTCAATTCACACATTTTTTATAATCTTGCATGCTGGGTGTATAAACACAAATATAAATAGTGAAATTACATGCTGCTTAACCTTTTTACTAGGAATGGTTTTATTAGAATGATTAATCTTTGGAATCTTTATTTCAAGATATGCAAATAAAATCATGTTTAGTACTAGCACTGACATAAAATAATTATTCTTAATATGATGCTAATATAACTAGCATTTTTAATGTGTACAATATTATTGTTAGGAGATTTGTCTGTCCATTTACTATTTCACGTTTTGCTTCATTACACATTTGTCAAAGTAACCCCTTGTAAATAAGCTAGCTACTTTTAAATAATAAAACAACACTGCATATATGACGACAAAATTTAAAAATAAACAAGAATACCAGACACCCAAACAGTTCAAGAATGTTTGTAGATGTATCGTTCAGGATTTAGTTTACAGTGATCTCGGGCACAACTGATCAATAATATAATGCAAGCAGGTATACAAACTGAAGCTCTTTGTAATTTGATTTAAGTCAAATTTGCACTGCTACTATTAAATGTTAGTACAAAGCAATGCTTAATCTTGGAAGAGCTAACTGATCTTTTTAAAATGTGTATTAATTTAAAATAAACAAATGCACAAGAACAGATATCTCCCTGTGAGAATGATTAAAGGCACTTAAAAATGATACTATGAAAACTGTGTGTAACAAGATTGGGAACATTGATGTAAGGATCTAACATCTACTGGTTTTTAACAATAAATTCTTTAATAATAGATAGGCAAACAATGGTTTATAAGCATACCTGAAGAAGACATACCAATGTTCTGTTGAAACGTAGTATGTTCTGCCATCAATAAAACTCTTCCTCATGATTATAAATCACTGTTTGTCTACCTGTTATTATAATAGCATAATGTGCTTCCTTACTCAAGTAATAACACCTTCAGTTATCCTTGATTAACAAACCTCTTCTGGAATATTGTCAAAGACTTTTCTCAAGTTTTCAACAGTGGTTTCCTCTGTATAGCTGTCTCCATAAGAATCGTATCTTTCAGCAATTTGTTCCTGTGTGGCTTCTCGCATGCTCCATAAATCAAAGGGTGTCCTTAAAGCAAGGAACACACACTTATGTCAGTGTCAAGATATGTGAATCATTATACAACTTACAACATGAAATACTAAATAAACAATAGAAAACAAACTTGACAGACGTATACATAAAGTGCTATGCTGATGAAACATTCAGTAACTTAGTGAACTAGAAGAATGCCGTGATGATGAATCCCTGAGTAACCTTAGTAATCGCAAGAGACAACTACTGTAATAATGAATCACCAATAACCTCTGTAAACTATTTCCACAACAGAAATGGAAAAAAGGGTTTGGTGGAACTGATATGTATACACTTGACAGAAATAAAAGAGCAGTTTACTTCTGCAGTGGAAAAGCTCTTTTTGAGCCTTGATATCTAAATATGTTAAGAACTATAACTTATGCTACAATAGGATTAGTCTTACCATAATTTGTTCTTATGGCTTAATAGTTTTTATTGAAGAAACATAAAAACTTTTTTCCTGTTGCATTATGTTATAATGCTCTTGCAAGTATACAAGCCATGAAATGCTGAACAAAATATCCCATTTATAACATACATAACCATGAAAACTTACAAACTTATCACAATTTTCTGAAATTCCTAATTTTCTACTTTATTTAAAATCCCATGGTAATTAAAAATAAGTTACAAGTTTTAAATTTTGCATTTAACAAGAAAAAATCAATTAAAGATTAATATTTTAACCCTCTCCAGACAGGTCAGGAGTCATAGGCCATGTCATCGTGTTTGTTGACTCATATTCAAAATTTTATTTCAGGAATTTATGTCAATACATTTGGTATCAAACTGTAGATTATAATTGAAATTTTAGTATTATACATTATTTAATTTCTTAATTTAAAAGTAAATATTAAAAACAGTTAAACATCGACTTTTGTGTGTCACGTGGTATATTGTATGCAGCACTGATTCAAATTAGATGTTTGTGATGTCAAAATACTAAGTCTATAGTTTCATGCGAATTAGAAACTCATATTACCAATATTTACAAGCTATAATATAAAATAAGAACCTCATATCTTTTCTATTTGCTGATATATCAATCATGTAATGAATCAAACACAGTGGCCCCGCTCCCACCACTTTCCATTTTTGGAAATGCTCCCTTATATATACTTCAACATATGACATGCAAATAACCATTCAAAAGCTCAGAATGTCCACCTAGTGGCTTTCTCAGCCTTTTTCATGTGTTAGGATGCCATCTCTTTCTTTCAAACCAAGATTTCAATGAGGTAGGTTGTGTCTTTTGTCTACTCGAAATTTCATATTTTTTTTAGACCCAAATATAGTTTAGTTACTGAGCTTGATAAATTAGAGTGAAGTTCTATGGTATCGAAATAGTAATTTATGATTTTTTGGTTATTCAACTGTATATATATAAAACATAAAAAAATTATTTTGTTTCACATCCTCCACGCGCAAAATTTTAAAAGGCTTAGCAACCTACATCAAGCAGCAACCAAGTACAAAGGTCATAACTAGAAGAGATCATTATTTGCTTTACTATATTTACTGTTCTATATTTTAAAAAAAATATGTTTAAGAGCTTATCTGTAAATAGAAATAATATATAATAGTTGAAATGTGACTGTATTTTACAAAATACTAGTCTACTAAAATACAGCCAAGATAGGTCACTTTGTAAAGACTAAAGGTCAGTTTTATATTATTGTATACAGTAACATGAGAGCACGTATGCCGCGTCATTGTAACTTCTGTATTGTTAGCCAGGTATGGCTGAAAGGTCAATATAATAAAAATATTAAATATATATATATAAATGTATAATGTTATGAGATTTAAGCAATTTAGTCTAAACATTTATGTCTCTGGGTTATAATTTGTGTTCATTCTAGAATGAAAGAGGCATAATTTATATTTATTTCCTAATTTTTTATGGTAGTGACAAGATCAGTCAAATCTACCAAACTTGTACAGAGATTCATTAGTGAAAATAACAGATAAAATATTTAAAAACATTTTTTAAGAAACATTTGATAACTATCTGGACATTATAAAGATTTTGCATATGAAATTTGAAAATATTCTGATGCATAAAAGTATTTTTTAATCTTAAAATGAAAATTACTTTGCATGTTGATAGACAACATGTAAAAAGAAAAAAAAAAGGCACGAGAAAAACACTGCTTAAAAACCTTGCGACTCAATAAAAGAATTCAATATTTTGCATATGAAAGCACTGTAATGTTTACTGATAATCTGCCAAACTTCGTTAACATTTGCTTATTAATTTAAAAGTTATAGCATGAAAACTATAACAAGCACAAAATGATTACGAGGTCAGTTTCACGGACCAAGCTCGTGCTGAAAGAGTTAAATAAGTGAACAGAAAAAGCTACTGCACAGTTGAAGTTGACTTGGTTCTTAAAGTTAAATAGCTGACTCAGACAAAAGATAACTTTACCAGGGAATAAACTGTTTTTCTTCAACGCAACGCAACAACCACTCTGCTCTTACAACATCATAACGGTTCATGCTAATGATGTTCTTCACACGAAGATTTACTTTGCTTGTGATAACACAAAAAGTATCAACATCTAAAATCAAAAAGGAAAGAGAAATATTTCAGATACCAATTAACTCAATTTTTTTGTATGGCAACATCTAAGTAAAACATTTAAATAAAAAAGTTTTTATCCTTTTGACTTAAAATCAGCCAATGAGCTCATCTTTGAATTCAGTACATGCATGTATATATATGATACAAATAAATTTATTAATTGTAAACATTGACCTATGTCTTTGGTATTTCTGTTTCAAATAACATTTAAGCCTCAATAATTCCTATCTTCTATTTTTTTTATAGTCTAATAAATGCTATTACAGAGTTCTGTATTAATCCAGGATTAAAAAAGTGATAACACCAAACCTGGGTTTTGTACAACTGATCCTCCATATTCTACAATCAGCTTCTCCAAATTTTGTTTTGAATGTTCTGGAAGGCCAATCACCACACACATTTGTTTTCCAGAAAATATAGCCGATACCTGAAGAAGGTCAGAAATGAAGTAAGCTAGAATTATCTCTACATGGACTGGTTAACATATTTCAGGTGTCAAGGATATAACTTGTATCTCAAATTTCAAAATTTAAGTAAATATAATAATTTTACCTGTGTTTAAACAATTTTTAACTGAGAAATATTGTAACATTAATATTTTGTCAATAAGTAACACTTATTTAATATAAAGAGGCAGTGAAAAAAGGATCAAATTTCATTTCTGGGCAGCTCTGATGAGTTTCACCTATAAACACATTTTTTTTTCTGCCCATCCTAAAGTATAAATATGTATTTGTCAAACAACTATTATCCCTTGAAAATATAATGACTTACATCTCATTTTTCATATGATTTTTTTCTTCTCTGTTAGTGATCTTATTAGTAGTCTTTTTGTTGCTACACTTTTATGATATTGCAGCATGTGGTCTGAGCAATTACTAATGAAGCTCGGCTTCAAGGAATGGCAAAATATGAATGGATAAAATAAATTATAATCTATGTACACCAATTTTGTGTAAACAGTGGTTGGAGCAATGACTTATGGTTTATCGAGATGCTGGCTGTCTTAATCTCATGTCGGGATAAACAAAGGAAGCTAATGGTTTACAACAATCCACAGACATGGAAAACATTTTTTGGTTTCTTTAGATGTTCTTTTCATTCCTGAAAATGTTCTAATGTTAAAATCCACCTGTTTGGAAGTTAAAGAAATTATCTTGTATGACAAAACATCAGGTAAGCTTACTTAGGTTTAGTAAGTAAGATAACTAAAGACAAAATATTCCAATGAATTAAACCCTTATTTATTTAATATTATTTTCATGTTTATCATATGTAAGCAATGCAAGAGAAATGATTATTTATTAAAAACAAATCATATTAGATATAAACTAGACTCAACCAAAAATACTGTTTGCAAAAATTACAAAATCTGACAAAGTTTTTGCTAGCACCATTTTAAAAAGTTGAGCCCTAGGTCACAGTACATCTTTGTCAGTATTCTTCTATGTTTTTATGATCTATAACTACAAGTGATAAAAACTGCAATCAATAAAATCACATATTTAAAGAAATATGTTAATGAACTAGTATCAAATTTAAACTAACTGCAAAATGAAACATTCTGATTAATAACTAAAAAAATTAAATTCTTTAACCAAAGTATTTCAACTTTTTCTTTCTTTCAAAATAGTATCTCAATATAATTTTAAAAATTTCAGAACCTTAAAACTTATTTAAATACTACACGAAATTACATTATTTTTTAAAACAGAAACTAGACAGCATCTAATAAGTTTCATGGAATTGGGTTAAAAATTTTCACTTTGAGAAGTAAAAAATGTCCTGAAAAGGGTTAATAATGTAAAATTTTCTGTTAACCATCCTATTAAGCTTTTGGTAAATTTCACCCAAAACTGGTTTCCATAATATTAAATTAAATATATTTTTGGGTTTATTATATATAATGAGAGTTTGCATTAATTTCTACTATTTAAAATAAAAGACTAAAAACTATACATAACAAAAAAAATAGTTCATTATTTCAAAACTTTCATTTTTTTGGAAATTGCATTGGATCAATATGACCCCCAAAACAACAGATATACCTCAATTCTGAACATAATAGGAGGATTTAAAATATGATTAGTATTATATTCATAAGAAAATGTTGAACTATAAAAAACAACTGTAACTACTATGTATGATTATAATCATAAGTATCAAATAAAACTATTTGTTTTAACCTTACATTCAACTAACCACAGCATAGTTAATAGTTCAATCCAACACATTAAATTATTTGTCTGCTTTATAATTTATATAACTGCAAGGGGAATATCAGTTACAAATTTGGAAGAAATGGACTTTTGAAAAGAAAAAAAAACTTGGTTTGAAACATCTTTTTCTTCTAAATACTTAAAAAAAAACAATCTATCTATTTATATTTTATGTTTTATAATAAACAGCATGTGAAATCATTGAAGGTTAGCAAAAATTTTTAAGATCTACGTAGGTATATCTATAGAAAAAATTCTATAGCTCTATTGAATGAGGTTAAAAGATAACTATTTACTAGTTGCTACTAAACAGCTCAGCATCTGATCAGATTAAAGTTATAGGACACCTCTATTTTCCAAGCTATATTTAAAATTTTGTTTTCTTGTATGCATTAACTATCAAAAAAATATATATAACATATGAATGAAAATGCACAAGAACATACAGGCTTTACACCAGAGACATCTGCAGGTTGAAACTGAGGAGCAATGGTGCAGATCCGATCAGTTCGTTGAGGTACTCTTCTCTTTTTTGGAGATGGTTCTGTTTCACCACTTTCATTACCAACTAAGTGTTGAAAAGCAAGCTTTCCTTGAGCTTGCTGAAAAAAAAAGGTTAAGCTTAAGAAATACCATAGGAAATAAAATTAAGGGAGGAAACTATTGGATTGAATCAGAGTTATTTTTTATAATTACTAAAATAACAAAAGGCTGTAGACCATATGATCTTAGTGTTCCACAAATTTTACAAACATACTAATATCTACAGTAACTTGTCTATTGTATTTAATGTATATCAAAAACACAACTTTTATATCTACATTATCTACTCTGAAGAACTCAGAAGTACAGGTACTACGTAAGTTTAAAAACTGAAGATTAAATTAAAAATTTTGTATATGCCAACATGGCTTGTAGTTATTATAATTCAATTCTATCAATAGATACTGGTTCAATGGAATATGTTATTTCATTTATTATATTATTAACCAGGTATAGTGAATTACAAATTACACCAGAAAATAATATCTATAAACAATAAAGTGACAAAATCAAATGATTTGGTAACTTTAACAGTGGCACCTATTGGTCACTTTGGAAGAACCATGTTTCAAAACACCAGCAGCTTTTGATTTAGTGTGCTTAAAACTATTAGGTTTTATTTGAATACTTTAAAAATATTCTTATGTTAATATAAAAGTACTCTTAACATTTCAAAATACAGTAAAGAAACTGTCTTACATACGAAAGTAAAAATCAACCAAATGCTTGATGGGAGGTTTTGAATTATTACCTAGAATTATAAAATAATAAGATTTAGTGAAACTGTTTGTAATGTTTTACTAATGATTGGTGAAAATAAAATATGGTCCACTTTTAAGAAGATGCAGCGAATGAAATTAAGAGTATAATTTAAATAATCTATATTAGGTTAAATCGGTTCTTATTTGGACACGTGTAAACACACATACTGTCTAACAACTTTATCCTAAGAATAAAACTTATTACACTGGTTTGCATGTAAAATGTTTTTAACACATATTTTACACTTTAATAAAAACAATTAATAAAAATATCACTTTTTTAGTAACATAATTAATGTACTTTGTATTTTTGTCAATGGTAATAAAATAATTTTCAACCCAAAATAGGAGAGATAAATTTCACAAATAGCCACATCTGTGCCAATTGGGTTTTGAAGAAGAACAGCAGCAAAATTTTAAATAATATTCACCAATCACAAACTAAAGGAATTAAATGAATAAATCAAAACTTGGAAGTGCCATTTTTAATAAAAAACATACATTATTAGTCACTTAACTTCAATAAGGAACTTTAAAAATAGCAAGTGTCACAAGTGCATGACATTTCAATGTGTCAACTATCTGTCTGTCTGTACCATTTTGTGTTACAGTAAAGCAGATCCTTTAGGTTGCAGTTGCTGATGAACGCCCTTGAAGAGATCATACCATGGCTGTTTTGAATGCATAAAAAGTTTCTAGACTACTCCAAGGAAATTTCTTGTAATAAGTGGTGACATCTTGTTAAAATCAGTCAAAAAAGAACACATCTTAACATAAAATTGTACCACCATTATTATGTTGTGCATGTTTTTCAATCCCATTTATTAGCTATAATTGTAAAGTATATGGGTACCTCTTTCACATAAACTTCTTTTTAAAGTTATCACCAATAACTTATAAAACACTAATAACATTTTTATCTATTCAAATCATGAATGCACAAGTCAGTCAGTCTTCAGGTTCAGTACCATAACTTCAGACATCATTTCTAGTAACAATTTTAGGGAATTACTTTCATAGAAACATGCAACTTATGATCTGAAAGATTTGGTAACAAGTCATATATATAAATACATATACCTGCTTTAAGTCCTCCAATTCAGAAAGAGTCATGCACTGAAACCAAGGTTTGTCATAACGTACTTTTTCAACTCTAGGAAAACGAAGTGTACAGCCAGTTTTAAAACGGTCACTTTTGATTATCTCTGTTGCTTTTACCTATATGAATGAACAAAAAGAAGCTTTTTTTGTACTTTCCAATTCAAATGAATAAAATAATTTCAAGTTAAAATATAATCTGGGAGAATTTTTCTCCAATTCTTGTAGTGTAGCTTTTGATCAATAACTTAATAAGGTAAATGTGTATAAACAGTGCTTTGGAACTTCTAAAGTGCTATTACTTTGCAAGCAAAATTACACTTACTTAAGGTACACTAATGTAATTAAAAGAAATTAAACAAAAACAGTAACTTAAAACAGATTAAAAAGTTAGAATGTGGTTTCTCAGAGTTTCTTATCAAAAACCAATTTTCTCCTCATTATGTTTAGCAAGTGGTACTTATTTGTTTGCCCCCTCCCCATTTTCAAACAAAGTAAGGCACCCATGTCTCTCAGTCCTGCTTATATCTTTAGAGCCCCACACCAGTCAAAAACCATACATACGATACCATTAATAATTTAAAGATTAACATTTCAGGATAGCAAATAACTTTGTTTAGACAGTTATGAATCAAATACCCTATAAAATTCAGTTTAATTGATTAACTAGTATATAAACTATTATTCTACAGCTAATGTTATACAAGAAATGTTAAAATAGAAACTTTCAGAAATAGAAATTCAGTTTAATTGATTAACTAGTATATAAACTATTATTCTACAGCTAATGTTATACAAGAAATGTTAAAATAGAAACTTTCAGAAATAGAAATTCAGTTTAATTGATTAACTAGTATATAAACTATTATTCTACAGCTAATGTTATACAAGAAATGTTAAAATAGAAACTTTCAGAAATAGAAATTCAGTTTAATTGATTAACTAGTATATAAACTATTATTCTACAGCTAATGTTATACAAGAAATGTTAAAATAGAAACTTCTTATTTAAGTGTTGTACACTTAACACTAAACCAGAGAACATTCTAACATTCAACACTGACATTTGGCATTAGCATGCCCTGTTCTTAGAGTCAACCTTAGTGGTCATTAACTTCAGATATTGCTTTAACTTAGGCTTAACACAATCAGTGGCCTGAAGGAGCTGTGAGATTGAAATACGTAATATGGCAGCTTATACAAGAGACATGACACTTGCAATAGGCGACTTACAGTTTACTGTAAATGTGAACACAGAAACCTTTATTTCTTTTAAAAAAGCAAAATCATTGTAAACAAATTTATATAGTCTTATTTCAAACAACTACTCTTCCTCAGTCTTAATATGTAAATCACATTAAACCTGATGAAGAGCAGTTGCTTGAAACACTGTTTTTAGTAATTTTATTTTATTGCACTTATCTCTAAATGTTGTGCAAATTCCAGTTACTCTGAAAACTTTTTCTTTTATCTGATGTCCATCTTGACAACATTAACAGTGTTCCAGATTTACAACTGGCATTTAACTAGCTGTGAAGTCATATTAGTTCATCACTAATTAGTATCATTGAATTTTGGAATGCATCCCTATCTTCATTCATTTTTAGTTGAGCTAAGAATGTAAAAATGTACTACATCTAGTCATTTCTCCAGTGTTATAACAATCACCTGGACTATGTAAGACTTAGAAGGTTCTACCCACAAGTCAGGTTTCTCTTTATGCCCACTGGCAAGTACAATGGAAACAGGGGGATTCTTCTTGTCATACACTTGCCAGTGGTTATTCAGTTTGTTCACTAGCTCATACAGCTCACAGATGGAGTACCCTGAACCAACCTTGGTAAATGAATGGAACACTTGAGGCTTTCCTTCTGAAATAGGCATAACAAACAAAGTAAAAAACAAAAGGTCAAGTATTGTACACTTTAATTTGGATAAATGAGGCTTGAAATAAAATGGAAAATTTCCAAAAGAGGGCATTTAGGTTTAACTTGCTTTCAATGCTAATGTAGTAACAAATCCTCAAGAGTAAACTTATTGGGTGACTTAAGTCTACTTTCAGTACAAATACAATGTCACATGTCTTATGAAAATTTGTGTTGGATCACGTGATACAAATCTATTATATTATACTTATGGAGAAAAATGTTTGTTGGATGCTTATAATTTAAGTATACTTTTAATTCTGTTAAAATGTCACATTCTGATGGAGGTTTGTTGGATGCATTACTAAATTCTTCTATTAGTGATGGTGCAGTGTTAAATTCCCATGGACACATCTGTTTTACATTTAATTTCTTTTACATAAGTCCTTATTTAGGAAAAATTTTCGATTCATATGATGTTTAGGAATGTCTTCATTTTATTACAATCTTATTCTTATACAAATGTTTTGTACTTGTGTGGTGTCACTTGTCCTAGTTACCCCTACAAGTTTATATTATTATTATTATTATTAAGATGTTTTTAAACCTTAACTATGGCATAATCAACAAATTTTAAATTTTTTCTATTCTATATATGAATTCTATATATATGAATACTATATAATTTTTTCTATTCTATATAATTAAAAAATCATTAAACTATAAACTATATTTCCTTTTATTTTACCAAATCAATACAGTTCTTGTAAAAAAAGATTGAAGTTAAAATAAATAATACTGCATTATTAATCCTTATCCTAATTATGATTTGTAAAAAAATGATTCATAAAATTGATAAAAAGAACACTTCATTAACTTATGTAGTTCACACCGTAACATTTGTTGTTAATAAAAATTGACAATATGAATAGTCTCAACAAAGTAGTTTAGTTACTGTGTCTGTCATATCCCAGCCAGCCTAATTAGCTCTGGTATTTGGCAAAAAACTCTCATTGGCAGTGGATACAGCATGTATAGTGCAGTTGACATATTGCTGTACACTATTCTTTACTTTCACAGTTAAATTCTTAAAACTGACTACACAGAAAACACACAACACAAACATATATATTTACACAAATTCTTGATGTATGCAGGTCCTATCAAGGGAGCATTTGGACCATTAAATAAGAGAAAATGATGTAACATGAACATTTTATAAGGACTCAATTTATTTAATGTTTTTTCTTTTTGCTATGAGAGTCACTCTCCTGTGGCTAATATTGTCATTGAGAAATAAAACATCATTGAGATTGCTTTACTAATCTCCAGAAACAGAACTGTAGAAATCCAACAACAATTGTTCATCAGTTACTTTAAGAAAATACAATTCAAAACTTGTATAAAAAAAAACAAGAATAGTTATGAATTATTTTTTGTGTACAACCATATCTGAAGTGAAATGCACAATATTTTTTATGCATGCCTTAATGAATGAAGTCATCTTAATTTCATACTTTCTGTTATATTTTTTATTTGTTTTGACAACATTATTTTATGCTCCTCACACACACCTTTACGACTGGTTAGAGCTTCCTTAATCTTGTGTATCCTATTAGTGGATGGTTTAATTTAATTTACCAACGTTAGTGCTTTCAGTCTGAGAAGTAACTTATATGTAAATGAATGAACACTTTTTTTTTTTATTCAGCTGTACCAATGTTTGCATTTTCTGTAGCACATGCTTTTCTTCAACTCCTTCCCTCTAATAAAATATCATTATCATTCATGCAAGTACTCGCACACTACAGTGTTAAAATCATGATGAGTACACCAAACTCTCTACTCTCCATAAAATCACTGAAGATTAACTCCAGTGTAAAAATCATGATGAATATATTAAAGTCGCTGCTCTTCAGGAAACTGCTGAAGGTTACACAATTTTGTTGCCAATATTTATTCATTTTCCAGATCACTTTTGATGAAAAAAAGTCTGTATTTCAATCAGTTATCAGATATTTTTATCTGACCTTTATCCACGTTTGATTCAGCATGTCTGCAAGTATGAAATATTTTACAACTTTTTTTTGTCCAAACAATAAATTAAAAATAACCTACCAAAATCATACACCCAGAAAAGTCTATAAAACAATACACTTTTAATGTATCACAACTTAAGAATAATGCATGTACAGCTAGACTTATCTTTGACAATCATACACTTTATGAAGATCAGTATCAGTTTTAGAGAGTTTGAAACCAATCTAAACAACAGAAATTGTAAGCTGCTCATATTAGAAACTCCAAATAGCTCTGGCATAGAAAAATCTTGAGAACGTAACAAGGCCTAAAGTAGAGATGTTTTTGTAAAAGATAGGCATAAAAGTCTTCAAGTTATTAAAAAAATACAAGATTAAATCATAGCCAGGCCAAGAAGAAACTTAAAAACAATTTTTTTTTACCTTTACATGATCCTGGAACAGCCAGGCCCAGAAGAAAATGAGAGATAATGCCTCGTCTCCTGCCCTCTCCAAAGTAACCACCCAAAATAACAAGATCCAGATCATTCATGAGGTCTGGCACATACTCTGGTTTCACTTTCATCCACCCACCTTTTCGAGCACTAGGGCGATAAATGGAGGCAGGGTTCTTTACGACAATACCTTCCTCTCGCTGGTCAATTGCATTATTGAGAGCTTGTACACACTCCTGTCTGAGACGTTAGTAGACTGATTAGCATATAAAACATAAAACAATAAAATGCATAATTAAATTTATGCCTGACCACTAAGAGACATGAATTAAAACTAATCCAGATAAATGTTGAAGAAACATAGTTTACAACTCTAGAAAATTTAAGAGTATTGTTACATTTGAACAGCAGTGGCTTAGTGAGTTAAAGTATCTCTATTGGCAAAGCTGTCCTCAGTTTCGATCTACTTGGCTTTTGTTTTTACTTCTTTAGAAAAAATTTAAAATTTTACTTGTTAAATAAAGCATTTTAATATAATTTTCCTTAAATATGTATATATATTAATATAATAAAAAATCCAATGTTGGGTTATGCTACCTTGTCTATTTTAATTAGTTGTAGAAATTAAAATAATTATTGTATTATCTTTATATATATATATATATTAATTATAAAAATCAAATAAAAAAATCAAAAGTTAGTTTACTACTTATAATCTAAAATTCTAAAAATAAAATTTTTAAAGAAGGAACTCGTTACAAAAAATGAGGAAAACATAAGATAAGCCTGGGACGAAATAACATGACCATTTATTCTCGTTGGCTAACACAAGCCTGAATATGTAATTTCCATCAAATCTCTTTTCTGTATTTGCTTTAGTTAAAAATACCAAGCAAGAACAAAACATCTACTTACTCGGTGGAGGCTTCTTCACGCGTAGCATGCATGATGCATCCTTCAACTGGTTCAAACACATCCTTAAGATATTCAAGTCTTTCTCGTAAAGATAAGTTCGACAGCACTTTATTATTGTAAAGCAAGATGTCGAAAACACAGAGACATGGCTGATAATCATTATCAGGTCCAAGGTTTTTCACATCAAAGTTCTCCGCTTTAGAGCCTACACAAGTACTAATTGTTACATTTAACTGGAAATTTCATCTAAAAATACACCAGCTGAGAATATTATTAAAATAAATTTTGATTTCCATGTAATATTGACGGTTTAATCTGTAATCACTATAATTCTTGAAAAAAAAAAAGGTTTTCCAAACTTATGTGGCAATCAGTTGAAATGACAACTTCAATTTTACATGAACAACCTAAAAAAATTAAATCAGGAACTTATATTAAAGTATGGCATGATCTTAACTAGCGATACAAAGTATCCTTTTACAGGAAATAACAGGGTAAACATTATTACAAAGTTTTGTGGTTATCTTGTACCTCCATCAAATTATTATGTATAAACACAAGTTACCAGATAGAACCTTCTAACTATAACTTGACTGGCACAATCATGAATACTGAGGGTAATAGTAGCAACTTTTACAGTAAGCTTATAAACCCATAATTTTTCCTTTCTAAAATTTGGTAAAAAAAGAAGTTAACTTGTTAATTTTGTTTAAGTCAATAGAACAAAGCTGTCTAGCAAAATCTAAAATGTTTCTGTAACACAGATGTTTATTTATTTCTTAAAAAAAGTTAATGCATGCTTGGAAAATATTATCTCTCTCTTTTATCTATGTGAGTATGCAACATCATGGACTTCTGTTTGTTATGGAGAAAACAAAATGTTATTCAAAAATAGGAAAATCAAAGTTTCCAACAGTGTTAAAACATGTATCATAACATCAAAGAAAATATGAAGAGAAAAAATGAGTAAAGAAGAGAATATTAAGGTTATGAAAGGTGTAAGCATATTTTAGCATTCTTAGTAATTAAGACTTTGAATTGAACTTTGCATAGCAACAGAAAATTATTTTTTTACATACTACACAGAAACATACTATTAACCCTTTCTGGACTGGGGGGGATACATCATTTCTATCCATTAATTTCCTTCTAAAAGTGAAACTGACATTAATTAACATATTTCTTTTGTAACATTATCTTGCTGATTGAAGTAGTCACTACTACTGACCATAAATCTTAAAAAACACATAAATTGACAAATATATATTAATGACCTAAGACCCAACATTTCAAAATGATGTCAGGTCAGGCTAGGTAACAGTATTTTTGCTAACAATATTCTTAGCTAAGTTCAATTTATGTCTAATAAATTCAGCTTCTTTTCACTGGCCCAGAAAAGTTTAAAACCATATATGCATTTACCAACTATTCTTTCATTAAATTAAGTGAAATTAAATTTTTTTACTCTCTATACAGAAACATTAAGAAAGACACACTGCAAAAGAAGGCTTAACAAGTGATATTTAATATTCTCTGTTTTACATTTTTACATATGATTAGATAAAAACACAAACAAATAAGAATTCTTGTTCCTATAAACTCAAACTCTTACACACTATAAGTTGAAACATATGTACAAATGTGAATTAAAAACTTATACCAATAAATAAAAGTGTTTTACTTAAAAAAAACATCCTAACAGAGAACAAAGTTTGACAGTATCAAAACCCACTAATTTGGTACTACACAAATATTTTACTATTCACTGGTTTTAGAAAGGATGTAAAAAAACAACAACTTATTATCAAATAATCATAAACTAGAAAGTCATATAATACCATACACTACCTATACATTTCAGCCTAGTGTTGTAGCCTACCATTTCTCCATCCAAGATACAATTTTTAACACTGTTCTTGAAACTGTTGCAAATATATGGAGTAATAGTGCCTTCCAAAGGACAGCTGCCAAAATTCTTGGTGTATTCATTCCCACTGTTAAGAAGGTATTAAATTATCTCTCAATTTATCAACACATTAAGAAGAACACATTTAAATTCCTATAAGACTCTCACACAACTCTTGCTTATGTTAGTTATATGTATGAAATTTCATCAAACTGTGAAAAGTATCCAACTTAAAATTACCAGGGATCATTGTCTCTAATTTTGAACAAATACACAATATTGATTTTTATTCTTAACTTTGTTTAACACAAACAGGAGTTTATTAACAGAATTTCTATTAATTTAAATAAAATAATGACCTATATCACCGGAATGTATCTTTATTGGATTAGTATTTCACTATTACAGTTTCGTAATGAGCTATCATTAACCTACAAGTTCACTAATTCATGTTCAGCAGTGAGTTTTCCTTCCCTGTCACTTACTGTTTACCACTTTTGAATTACAGAGCCTTCTAATGGTGTTTTTGTCACATGGGACAATCTATGCTACATGGCTCATTTCTGCATCACTCATAAGATTTTGTTCTAATACACAGATTTTGCACCATCACAACTCAAGCATGTGTCAGAACACATTTTATTTTGGAGGAATGGTAACATGGCTTTGGAATACTACAAACTGGAATGACTCAATGTCATGTTGCTGCTGCTTTCTCACATAGCACATTGTTGTAACCTTCAAAATGCAGCTGGAGCTCTTCTGTTAACCCAAACAGCTCATTTTAGACTCAATGTGGTCACCAAAGCCTGTATTAGGATCCTTTTGTTCTAGCACATCTTGATTTTACAGAACATCATGTCAATGTGTGGAAAGGCCTTTCTAAACCATATCAAAATGGTAACATAGCTGAATAACTCCTAATTGTAGTGGATCAATCAAAATCTGAAATATCAGCTTCTGCAGCAAGAGTTGCATCCATGTGTCCTTGGACAGCTCTTTTTGACAACTGTTCAGCACAGAAATGTGATCTTAAATATTCACACGAGACCATACCAGGTAAGTTAATGCTTTTTAAAAGACACACTAGGTGTTAAAAGATTTTTGTTCGTGGATTTTTCTGATCTGTACACCTAAAATGTTTAATTTTCAAAGGTATCCTCTTCAATACTGAGTTGTGTAACAACACACTAGCCAAAAACGAAAATATGAATTTAGTTTGAGAATATGTGAAAGTAAGGTAAGAGTTGGTTACTAATTACCTTTTCTTTGCTATATTAATTTTGAAAAGCAATAGATCAGAAAATGTTGAGAAGCATACCTTACAGCATTAAAATAACGCTCAACGCCAACTGGTATATTCTATTAAGTGAAGAAATATTTCTTAACTTCAGCAACTTAAGGTTGTTTGTTTGTTTTGGGTATTCATCCAAAGCTACACACGAGTTATCTGTACTTGTCATCCCTAATTTTGGACTAATAGATTACAGAGAAGGCAACTAGCCAACTGTACCCACCACTAACTCTTGGCCTACTCTTATTGCATAGTGGGTGAATTAATGACTAAACTTGGCAGTAAGTTTGGTTTTAAATCTCACAAGCCCCTAAGGGGCTTGAGAGAAAACCAGGGGCACTCAGAAACTGTATTTTCTTTTCAGCCCTAACATGTGAATTTAAGAATTAATCCTAAACACGAATAAAAGACAGTATTGAATAAAGGGAGGTATAATGCATACTGGTAGGTCTTGAGAATAATTTTGCATAGTGGGAATTGATAGTCACTCTTATAACCATGGCCCCAAAGTGTGGAATGCAATTTTGTGGCAACAGGACACAAACCATGGACCTTCAAATTCACAGTACAGCATGCTAACCATAAAACCACTCCTGGCCATGAAAAGATTGTCATTAATTAAACTGTTATCAATGGTGTAAGAAAACATTTTTGTAAAGATTACTGACAAAAAGATAAATAATACTGCACACAAATTCGAGAGATTCATTATATTTGTTTGTCACAAGCTTTCAAACACACCTATGAATGCCTTTTCAGGCAATGACATAAAGAAATATTCTTTGCTTTAACATGGGCTTCAGAGCTTGTAACAAAAAATATAATGTGGAATGACAGATATGATATTTTTAATATAATGTGGAAAGATAGATATGATAATATTATGTGAAAGGATATATATGATAATATTTACCTTAGGTAAAAATTAATTTAAAATTATCTTTCTTTTTATACTCTTTTGTAAATGTTTGCATTCAATTTTTCTCATGAGTTTATAAAGAGACTTTCAGCTTTATAAAAATTACATTAACACCTTTGAAACAGATATTCCATGTTAAAAATAAATTACAAGGATAACAAATTTCAATAGATTTTGATCTTTAATTTATCAAACTGTTTGGACAGTTCTACAGACTTTAATTTATAACATTAAAAAGAAAAATATACAGTACAAAAAAATAAGATTCCCACCACACACACACACCAACACATCCTTACAGTTTCTAGCCTAATACACAGAAATGAAAATTAAAATTCTCTCAGTTACCAGAGACAGTTACAAATGAACAAGAAGCATTTCATACCTTCTAGAAAAATACTTGTATACATTCTGATTCTTGTGAAGTTGAATTCTTTCACCATCATATTTGGTTTCTATGTAGAATGTCTCATGTTGCATCATCTTTACTACCTACCAGTCCATAGCAAATTTTATATAAAAATCAATTCTTTGAAACAGTAGCTTGTGAAAACGTAACTAAATCACACAACATAGATCTTATTAGAATCAATTAGTACCTTCCTGCTTAATTTAATGATGACTGCATTATCAACACACTTGTAAGGGTAAAACTTTAATTTAGCAAAACATAAATTAAAGCTACCTCTCCTTACACCTAGAATTCTAAAGCCCCCAACCTATGTAGTGATGTCACATAATTTCATAACCCATATTCTATTCCACTGTAAAACTATAAAAATTTGCATTATGTTATAAAAAATGTAGTCGAAACTCACATACAGGAACATTAGGTGTAACAAGTAAAAATTACTTGTATGTACATGTATGCATACATAAACAAACATACACACACACACACATATATATATATATATATATAGACACACAACAACACATGTATGTATTCATAAAGTATGAATTTTACAAT